TTATTCGCCATGTTATTAAAATCCCTTGACCTAACAATCCGGGATATAAAAATATATTAACAAACACACGAAGACAGTGTTGCCGATTTAAAAATAACAATAATTCGAATGTCACAGCACTTCCAGCAGATACCGTGCTAAAATTTATCTGTATCTGTAACGTGTGGAGGGTGGGTTACCCCACGACACTTAGACCTCATTAGGCCCATTGTGCATCCTCCTATTATGATAGACTCGTGAGCCAGCCTACAGAGTTGACAACATCGCCTAGAGGTGCTTCTCCTATATCGGCCGGTATTAGCCGATACTCGCCGAACGCAAATCTTCTAATAAATGAGAGCGTCGAGCAATCGTAAAGGATATGCTAAAATGTATTCATCCATTGAAGAAAATAGATCTCCATAACATAAAGAAAGATTTTCAAATCGGCTATGCTACAAAATTACATAAAAACGTTGCCATTAGTGTTAAACTCTGGGTACAGTTGATGAGAGAAAAATATATATAAAATTGTCTTGTGCTTTTTTATAAAGAACAAGGACAAGAAGATTCATTTCATGAAAAAAATGACTTTGTACTTATTATAATGAGCGAATTTCAAGAAAATAAAATCAGAAAATATGGAAGAAATAAAATTTGTGTAGATGGCACACAAGGCCTAACTAATTACGGGTTCGTGATAATATAGACAATTAGCTAAATTATAACAAATTCATCAAATATTTAAATCAAAAATACTTTAAAAAATACAACTTGGGATCACATATACACTGAAAAAGACCCAAACATTGCAACAAAAATGTTCATTGTCACTATCAGCAATGCAGTTCAAACATGCACATACACAAAAAAAACCCAAAGAAAAAACACAAAAATTGTGCCATGGATGACAAATTTGTTATTAAAATCAGTGAATAAAAAAAACGAGATGTATAAAAAACTGTCTGACAATCCAAATAATGCTTTATTAAAAGATCAGTATAAGTCATACAAAAATAAAGTATCAAGAATTAGTTAAAGAGTAAGTATTTGTAAAGACAAAAATGCAATGTCATATTTTAAAACCTCATATTTATGTGCAAGTACATTTAGTAATAATTGCTAGTAAGAACATTGATAGGTATATGTAGGTACTTTAATTATTTTCAACTGGAAAATACAGTTATTGTCTAGTTTGAGCCCTTTTCGCTCATGAAAAAAATACGCATACATACTCCTGTACATATCACTATTGTAAACGAAAAATCTTAGTTCCATATCTTGTGAAAATTGATAGTAATGACAGAATTAAGATTTTTAAATAAATATTCACAAATTGTCTAAATCAAAGCTCAGAGATGCTACTTTTACGTCTTAGAATGTTGCCAAGTATCGCAAAAAGTTTACTATTCAGTTATTTAGTATCAAAAGAACAGCATGTTTTTTTTTCACCCCTATTCCCTCGCTTTCCCGTAAAATTATTAAATGGAAAAGCGGCCTATTTTTATTTAAAAAAATTGTTTGTCATCATTAATTTGCAAATGATATGAAACTTAGGTTTTTTGTTTGCAATAGCATTTACCGGAATTACTCCAAATTAAAGAGAATAAAATATACAATTTTTAATGCCACAGAAAAATGTTAAATATTAAATAAATATAAATACACTATTCTTGTATACCACCCACAATACATATTCTGCCTGTAATGTGTCAATTTTCAAAGACGTCATGGCACGAAATATTTTTATTGCGGTGAGACACTCGTGTTCAAATAGGTAAATTTATTAAATAAATATAAATATGTTAGAACCAAAATGGTTTCCTTTCTGTTAATTTCTACACATATCTTAGTGTTTGTGTGTTATAGTAAAATTAAAATAGAATTTAATCAAAAATTAAATCTCCTCTACTCAAAAATTCCCATTCAATGATGGAAAAAATTAATATAATTATAATCTAATATTAATATAATGCAAACTGTATATGGTGATATATATTTACATATCCTAATAAGATATCCTGTAAAGGCATTAAGCACCTGAAACATATTTTCGGATTGCCGCAATACCAAAACTAATTATGAGCTTAAACAAAAAAAATTTAGTTAAAAAATCACGAATTAAGAATCCGGTTCATACGACCTTTTATCATATCAGTCACAATTATGGTATTAAATGTGTAATAGCAATTGACACCAAATCAAAGCATGGAAATATCCTCTGCAATAATAAGTACAACCATAGGCGTACATGTAAAATATTGCCAACTGTAAAAACCGTATAATGTTCTAGATGTTTTTCGGTAGGCGTAAAATAAAAAAAAAAAACAAAAGACAATTGATATTGGGATCCAAAGTTAAGATCGCAGCGCCGCACACTGGGGCAACAAGCCATCAAAGTTGGCAATAAATCACACTCTCTTTATGAATTTGTAAGTTAAATATTGCTTTATAGAGGTGTTAGTATTACAAATGAAAATATATAGTGGGCCCTTAAAGTGTTTGTTTGCTAAAAAAAAGAAAGTTATTGAGCCCTCCATGTATTTTCTTTTGTAATACTAACATATAATATAATAAAAATGTCATGGACCTAATGAGGCCTAAGTGCCGCGGGGGTAATCCACCCTCCACAAGTTAAAGATACAGATAATAAAAATGTAATATTATAATAATTTCATTTAGAAAAGCTATCATAATAGTAATCAAATTTCATCCTCTTTAGAATGTGATAAGACATTTTCTTCATCGTCTCCACGGTCATCATCAGTGTCATGAATATACCATGGCTATGAAGCTAGACGGGTCCAGATTTAAACAAATCTACTGTTTCTTTAGGAAAGTGCTGCAGGTTTTCTTTTCTAATTTTCGTTTGTTCGTGATTACAAGGTCGAAACTAAGTAAAAACGAATTAAAGACGTCCTCATTAGTTTTCTCTGTTAGTTGGTCTATAGGCAACAAAGCAGAAGATATTATTTCAGGTCCATGTATAAAGTATTTGTGCAAAATAAACTAGCTCTAAATCGACTCATATTTCAATTATGTTCGCCATCCTGGAATTTAAAATTTCCGCCATTTTAATTTAATGGTCTGAAAGTATATTTACATACCTACCAAATGAGACCCATTGAATTCAAATCGGTCAAAAACTAAAATAGCAGCGTTGCAAAGCATAATGATGTGTTATTATAAGCTTCTATGAAAACATAAAACCAGATAATTTTGATTGTCTATATCTTACGATTGAATAGACCAATCGTGCTCGGAGAGGTCTTAAAGTAAAGAAAATAGGTTAGATATTTAACTTTTGTTGTTAGATTTTATATTTAATTCATAGTTATTACGCAAAACGAGTTTTTTTTTTCTTCAATTAGGTCATCTTAAATTTTACATTTCTAGCATTTTGTTATGGCTGTCTGACAGCATATATTTAGTTGCCTATAAAATGAGCCTAAGGACAATAAAATCGATTTATTAATAAACGAAATATATTAAAAAAGACAGAATTCGTTTTTGATGATCGTCCCGCCATATATTTATATATATAAACCCAAATAGTGAAGAAAAGTGCAAATAAATGCACAAAAACTAAACGATTTCGAAAAGTACAAACAATATTCATTATGAGAAGTCGAAATTTAAAGCTTGAACTGCTTTGGAACACAACAAATAGCCTTCATGTATTTAAGAATATTTTAAAATTTTAACGTTTAACCTTCATTTTATTTAACCCCAATATTATAATTTACGTTTATTTTTCTACAACTTTTTACTTTTTAAAATAATAATACATAGCTGAACTTAAAGGCTCGATGGCGGAAATTTGAAAAAAAAATCAAAATACAGCACAAAAACAAGTTAAAAACTACGAAATATCAATGAATATATACTCGTTTCAGATAAGTAACTTCGACTGAGGATGGTGATGAAACGCGTGAGGCAGAAGATCGCGCTTGTTCCTTTTATTATGTAGTGGACAGTAATATATAAGAAAAAAATATGAGGTAGAGTGTATATGCTATTTAATTTTTTTATTTATTGCCAAATTTGAGGGCTTCCCCAGTGTGCGCCGTTATAAAAAAGCAAATAAATAAATACATGGAAATTACAACTATCCCGGTACTATATTTTTATCAACTTTATAATTTGGCAGCTTTTATAAACCCGTCATGTTCTACTTGGGATCTGTTAAAAAGTGATATCGATGTTACCTTGATTTCGATATTTATCAACTTTATTTACTCACCCACAATTGAGAATGTTCTATCAAGCTCTGGTCGAAAGTCACATCAGATATGAGATTGCTATGATTGGGTGGTGCATTAAATATACAGATGCATTCTCAGGAAATTTTTTAGAGGAGGTTTTTGAAAATACACTATTCTATATAAAGAAGCATAACTAATTAATATATGTACGTTAAATGTTTTTTTTTACATACAAAACCATCTATACAAAACGCGCAAACAGCTTCACTCGGAAATGTGACAACCGATGGAACAAATCCATTATATAGGGATTATTACCCGGTTTTTGTTTATATCAGCTACTGTAACATTTTATTTTCAGTCATCAATTTATAAAATGTAAAACATGGAAAAAGAAAAAAAATAATTTAAACATACACGTGAACAGATATCAAACAGCTTTTAAATAAATATAATAGTTAAGCAAAAATGTTTACCTATTTATTATTAATACGAATAAATAAGGGTAACTCTTTGAACAAAGCAAATGTTTCGCTATTTTACAGAAATTTTAACATAAAAATATTAATGACAAAATGTTCGTGTTATTAATAATTATTAATATTAAAATATTTTTATTTACGATATTTTATGTATCTTCAAAATAATTATAGCAATATTAATTTGGGCCTGATTAATAAAACCAGAGTACAAATAAATATCCTCTTGTAACCCCTAGATGTACGCCCATGGAAACACATCGATGATCAATGATCGACCCCAGTACCATAAGAAACTGGAATGTTTTTTTTTTAAAAATTGGTAAACTGATAACCATATCTGTTCGAGTCTTGGTCGTGTTAACACTTGAACTTAGAATTACTGAACAACCGGTGGTAGTGAACTTGGAAATATGAAGGAGGATAACGATTTCGTAATTAGCGGGCCTACGCCGTACGAGCCACTATGTGAGGACACTTTGGGGCAGGTTTTCGGGAAAATTTTCATGGAAAATGCACCGGACCATAAAATCATGGTATGAAATTTTTTTATTTATTTTATGTGAAGAAAGATAATGAGAAAATGTTAAAATAAAAAATAACACATCTAATTAATTATATAAAGTTTTTCGTTAATAATAATTTGCTCTGTTTACATATACAGGGAAAGTTAAAAGTAAGGAATTTTGTTTCTAAATTTCGCACTTTTTTTACATTAAATTTGTATATATACAGGATGATTCGAGTAAATAGTAATAAGAATGCATTTTTTCGTCTTTATACTTAGCACTTGGGGGAGTAAAGGGGTATGAGTCAAAAATATTCAAAATTGAGTTAAATCTACTTTGATACTTCTAAACTTTTTTTGTACCCTTGGGAAAAGGGATATAAGTAATGGGAAAAAGGAATATAAGAAATTTAAGCCTTACATAATTTGGGTATTTAAGAAAACCGTTATTCAAACGTGAATATTAAAACTTTAAACTCAGTTTACAATAATTGTTGATTTAGGACATATACTCCTTTACCCCGAAAGTGCCAATTGTTTTTCTTTAAAAATGTATTAATTTTTTAAATTTTTTTATTTAATAGATTAACATTCTTGTTGGCATTTAAAACAAATGGAATATAGTTATAGAACTAATAGAAAAGCCAAATATGATTACTTAAAGTAAAAACAAAATAAAATTCACAATGTTTCTTTTGGTATGTTGGACCATAGATTTATAACAAATTACCTAATGAAATAAAAGTTTTATAATTAAACTGAATATACAAAAAACAAATTATAAAATGGATCAATCTAAATGTAATATTCACCAATTAATTAAACAATATTACTTTTATTAATAACTCCTATGTTTTTAGTTATCTATTCTTAATTATCTATTATTAATTATCTATTCTTAATTAACTGAAGCTCATCTTAAGATGCTTTACCAAGGGCTAATACAATCCTTGCTAAGTTATGAAATCATGGGATGGGGTAGCGTAAGTAACTTTCATCAAAGAACCCAGCGAGACGTGTAACTCAATGTATTTTTTTTGTTCGGTTAAAGTTGTTTGGGCGATTGTAATGGCAATCAGTTTATGATGGCACCACTACTCAATTTTCTTCTTTTCTTACTCCAGTCATAAATAACGGGAAATTTAAAAAAATGTTTTAGGGTGGAAAATTCAAACAGATTTAGAGATAGTTTTTCTATACCAATTTATAGATGGAACAACAATTATTGTTTTACTATATATTAAAAAATGTAAAAGCTTCCAATAAATAATTTCAATGGGGGAAGTTTTAATCATATGTAGTAAACATAGTTTATATTACTCTTGTAAATTTCGCTAAAAAAATTAACTTGGAAATTAAGTGATTGTTAATATTTAAACTTAGAAAAATAATACAATAGACTCTTTTTCTAAAAATTGTTTTTAAAGTACAGAAAAACAAACTACAAGTGCTACGTTTAGAAAGTACCTTGTCTTGCTCTTTTTACGCGATGCCGTTCTTTTAGTACATCTACTTCCTCTCTATCGAATCTGTCCAAGGTCTTTTAAATCAGAGCCATACGATCTGTTTACTTCATATTAAATTCCAGAGCTTTAGGAGTAAATAATAATTTTGTCACAATTTACAAAGAAATAAAGTCACAGTTGTTATTTAATTAAAAAGTATTACAAACCAAGAAAAATAGAAAAAAAAATATAACAAATAATTTATAAAGTATAGGTTATGGTTGTTTATTTTAATAGAAACCATGGAAACGAAACAAACACAGAGACACACACAGAGATAAATATGTATAAGGCCCGAGTCGGGTAAGTTCCCATTCTGTACACTAGATCAGAACCTGCTATAGTCTATTTTTATGTATAAGAGAGTATTAAAATAATAAAGCGTTGGTAATCGATAGGCGTACGTACCACTTCTTTTAGTAGACAGTTATTCCTCGAGTATACACTTATATTTTCACCTATTTAACCTGTTTATAACTTCTAAACAGCTGAAGGTATAAAAGTGCAATTTTTTCTAAAATGTTTTATTTTTCCACAAGGTATGTTAAGAACATTGTGTCAAACGGGTTATGGTGGTATAAGGGTTTAAACTTGGACTTTTAAACAACGTTAGGTTCATAAATAATAATTTTAATATAAAAACTTCTTTTTACCTACAAATCCAAATCACAATCGAAATCAGAAGATGAACTGTCGCAACCAATATTTACAATGAGTGGCTCGATCATTTCATCAGTAATATTGTCCAACTTCTACATTTTCTTTTCTTCTTTATTCGTATGATTTACTGCCTTTTCCCAGTTTTCAGGCTTCACATTATTTACAGCCTCCAAAACAACTGTTTAACATCACTCATTTTAAAAGAATTATTTTTTCTTGAAACTTCTCCCTTTATCTGTGCCCATATCAGTTCAATCGGGTTTACTTCGCAATCATATGGTGGTGATCTAACCACCGTCATCCCACGATTTTTTGCAATTTCATCAATTTCATATTTTTTGAATTTCTCTTTATGAAGGGAACACAAATGATACAGTTCTTTTCTCACAGAACCGGGATGGAACTTAATATTCTTTGAATTTAGCCAATTCTGTAAATCTTTTTTTGACCACTTGGTTGTGGGCATTTTTTCTATAAGTCTCGAGTGATAACTTGCATTATCCATTACTATTATACAGTTCTGAGGAAGAAGATCTATAATTTGTTGGAACCACTCTTTAAGGACATCAGCATTCATGTCCTTATGGTAGTCACCGGTACGAGTAGATTTAAAAGTCAATAAACCACCTTTAACAAAATCGTTTGAACTACCGATGTGTACTATTATTAGTCTGCGCCCCTTTCCTGATGGTGGATTTAAACCAGTAGATAAATTATTTAAAAAAGCCTGTCTTCGACTTGTAACAGTTTCATCTTTTTATTTAAATTTATTTGGTTTATGTCCCTCGTTGATCCATGTTTCATCTAAATAAAATATATTTCTTCTTTGGTTTCTCATTTCTTTTATAGTCCTTAGGTAATTTCTCTTTCATAACAATATCGCTTCTTTCTATTAAAATAGACTTTCTGGAATGCTTTTTCCATAGAAAACATATTTCTTTTAAAAGTTTCCATAGTGTGCTTAGACTAATTTTAGGGTAATCCTTATCATCTCGAACCGTGGCAAGAACTTTGTCTACTGTCGGAAATTCTTTTCTAAAGAAGAACGCATGCACTTTCCTTCGAAGTCTTTCTTTCAAAAGATTTTCTAATTGAAATTTTGGTTTTCCTGGAGCTTTACGTGCTGTTTGAAACTCGCCACATTTCTCTTCTTTAACAACTCTGTAAATCGTAGATTTCCCAACACCAAGCGTACTACTAACTAAATCCACTGTGTCATCAACACTTTTACATAAATGTTTGTCTGTAAAGGATTTAAAACAATTAAATATTAATGTTTTTTCATAAACTGTTAAAGGACCAAATTATTGTCGTTTACGCGGCCCTTCCAAATTTTCCATGATCACACTAGAATTCACACTGCACCTTGCAACTAAACGACATTTAGTAAACTGTCAAGAATACAAAACTTGGACCTCCTTACTAAATGGAAAACCTATAATCGCATTTTCGGTGAAATTTGTTGGGAAGTTATTTATCTACTTATAATTCGATTACTGTAAGAAATTCTTGGAATTAAAATAAAACAAAATTGGCAAATAGGTACTTAATGAAAATAATCTTAAGATACGGCTATGTAATCTTTAATACACAGGGCTTTTGGCCTATCCAAACCTTTTTCTATTGTTCTGTACAGCTTATGTTTATAAAGGACCAATAAAAGACCCAAAACTTGTAATAGCTCAGGTACATTTATTACAATTTTAGGAAATATTTAGATTATTCTGTAAACATATTTAAAATGACCGTACTAAGTTTTGCATTAGAAATGCTCTTTTATTATTCTCTCATACATAAAAATAGACTATAGACCCTTTCCGTCTACCCCCCTACTTTCTCCTCTTAGTGTTATCAAGATCAATAGAAGTATATGCCATGCCTTCTATCATCATTTAAACAGGACGTTGCTGAAGGCTTATCCCTGTTATGTCGTTTGTTTATCTTGTGCGTGTGCATTCCCGTTGTGTCCCCAGTCATGTCAAAGTTCTTCTAGTCTCCTAATAGAGTGACTCGGTAGACCTTCTCCAACTAGTCCTCTAATCTATTCGATCCGCTCTGCAGCAGCTCTGTAGCAAATAATAATTATTAATAATAAATACAAAGATGAATACATTTTTGTAATTTTTTGTCCTTGCCCCTTACCTGTCTCTTGCACCACCAGGGTATACCTATTTTCCATACGCCCTTATTTTTTTTTACTTATTTTATTTATTTAACGCGAAAATCGCTTTATAGTAAAATAATACAGTAGTATTTAACATTCATAAATACAAAAAATAAATACATTTATTATCGAATCACAGATATCATGTTTTTAAAGCTTTGACCTCAACTTAGCTTTAAAGTACCGATAAAATCAATGACCTGATCACCAAGCATATTGGCTGTTCTTGATAAGCGAGAAACAGGGGTGTGATATCCATAATTTGTATAATGAAATGGAACAGCCAACAAACTGTGGTAATAAGTGGTCCTATTCTGAATCCTAAGTGAGAAAAGGGACAGAAGTTATGGGCAACAAATATCTCCTGACAATATTTTGAATAACAAAGTCATTTCCATAAATATTCTACGGTTTTCTAATGTTAATAAGTTAAGTGTAGTCATAGATGTAATAATAGATAACCTTACGATGTTTGAATGGATATAACATTTTACCTATGAAATCTAATTTCGAATTTAACTCTTTTTCAATTTTATTTGAAACAATTGGTATATTACAATTTATTATCATGGAAATCTTCTAATAAAATTATAGCAGATCCTACTCAAACTACTGGTAGTTCGGCAGAATAAATGAACTTTTCTTGAGATTGATCTGTCTCTAAAATCCAAAACCGACCTAATGTCCCTAAATTTATTTTCCAATGCATTTTGATTTAAAATTCTGGCCTTTACTGATTCAATCTTCTAATAGCCACTATAGTGACTGTTAGAGGTAAATATATGTAAGAAATTGTTAATATCTTATGATTTCAAAAGTCCTTTGCCAATACATGTGCAGATATTTTTTACTCAGCATACATTTTACTTCTTTTCTAGTAGGTGGGAACTCTATGCTGCCATTAAAGCTGTCAAGACATTCATCTACCTACTTATTGAACAAAAGTATCTGTAACAATGGATCATTTTGTAATATATTATTAAACATAAACATTATACAGTAGTTGTTGATTTTCTTAATAAATTGAAAATTACTTACCTCTAGAAAGAAACGTGCACAAAAGCAGGAGTTTGATTTCAGAGACTGCTCCATGCAAAATATATTATGCGAAAATAAACACTAGCCCCCCCCCCCCCCCCCCACCAAACCAATTAAACAACAAAACCATACTGAAATTAACGATGCCCAAATTAAATTAATTTTAATAAAATGCACAACATTGTCAGTTGTAAGTTGTCAGTTGTCAGTTGTCAGTTGTCAGTTGTCAGTTGTCAGTTGTCAGTTGTCAGTTGTCAGTTGTCAGTTGCCAGTTGCCAGTTGTCAGTTGTCAGTTGTCAGTTGTCAGTTGTCAGTTGTCAGTTGTCAGTTGCCAGTTGTCAGTTGTCAGTTGTCAGTTGTCAGTTGTCAGTTGTCAGTTGTCAGTTGTCAGTTGTCAGTTGTCAGTTGTCAGTTGTCAGTTGTCAGTTCTAATCGATACGTCGACGTCAAAAAACCAGTAATATCAGCAACCTCTAGGGCTGGTGTTAATTTTATTAAAGAGAGATAAAAATATGTAAAGATTGTAGTGAAAGAAAGCATTTTAAACACCAAAATGCGAAAGAATCGCAGGTCAAGAAAGTTGTTCTTATTCAGCACTTATTCAGCACAATATTTTTAAAAATACCAGAAAAAATAAAAAATATAAAACGATACAAACTTTATATATACAAAATAAAAAAAATGGATAGGGAAAACGATAGAAATATGTTTCATAAATTTGTAAATTCAAGAGTGTAAACCAATAAACCTAATTGTTTTTTGAACCAACTATTTTTGTCCATTTGTGGAGCTTGATTTTTGAGTAATGCTTTTTTTTTAATTAAACCTTCCTTAAACCCCCATTTTTATTAGGACTTGTTTTCAAATTTAAATTTTTTTTTTTTATTGAGCTTCATTTTGGCAAAAAAATTCAAGTTAATGATATTTTTCGTTTTCAAGTTGATTTTTTAAATATTTTAACCCTCCTTAACCCCTCATTTTATATTCAGATTTTTCAGAATCAGTATGCTTCAAGCCCTTATAAAGGTTGATATTTTTTAAAATTTCAAATTCATATCGTTTTTAGTTTCTGAATAAGGAATTCTTTTTTAAATTTCAACCCTCTTGAGTCCCTTTATTTTTAATTATTATTTCATGTTGATATCACTTTTCATTTTTTATTTTTAAATTTTAACACCCTTTAAACTCCCCATTTTTATTCAGACGGCTTTTTCTTTTTATAAAGCATGTTTTCTACTAAAAAAAGTTAATATGATTTTTCGTTACTGTTTTTCTTTAATATTTTAACCCCCTTGTCCCCCTATTTTTATTAATTTTTTTTTAGAATTAATAGGCTTCATTCCCTTATTTTTAACTTAAAATTTCATGTTTATATGGCTTTTGGTGTTTATTTTCTATTTTGTTTTTATTTTAACCCCCTTAACCTTAAATTTTTAATCAGATTTTTTTTAAATCAAAAGGCTTCTTTCTCTTATAGATCTTGATTTTTGATTAAAATTTCAACTCTCCTTGACCCCTAATTTTTATTAAAAAAAATTTTTCAGAATCAATTGGCTTTATCTCCTTATAGGGTTTGATTTTTCTTAAAGACATCAATTTTTATTTCTGAGTTAGGATTTTATTAAATATTTCAACACCCCTTAACCCCCCATTTTTATTCATATATTTTTTAGAACCATTAGACTTTTAATGTTTCAATTCCCTTTAACCCCCATTTTTATTAAGATTTTTTAAAATCAATAGTCTTCGTCTCCTGATAGAACTTAATTTTTCCTAAAATTTTCAAATTGATATCGTTTTTCGTTTTTCCTAAGTGGTCGTAAGACAAATATTTATGAGAGTCTAAAAATTACCCAAAATCTTTCTTCAGCAGTTCCCAAAATTATTTTTTTTTATTTGGTAAAATTGTTCTGGTCTATTTTATCCCTTTTTCGCTTTCTATTTGAATAAAAACTTGTTTAAAGTTCTGCTAATAGCTAATTAGACGATATTTAGTTAAAATTGTATATAATTATTTGCAGTAATTCTGTCTCTAGCCAGGAGATAACAACACCTCCTGGATAGAATATAATTTGACGTAAATTCGTTCAGAAATCAATCCCCTGTCTTAATTCTTAACTTAAAATTATAGGCATCCTTACGTTTTAGGTATATGAAGCCAAATTAAGATTGTCAGATATTTTATACACTTGATTTTTTCCAGGTGCTACATACTTGAAGCCGATTTTCCTTAATAACATAAAACAGTTCAATAAAGTATTAAAATAAATTAAATATCCTTACAAACACATTATAAAATTTTTAAATTAGTAAGATTTATATATACATAAATTAACAATCATATAGAAAAATTCTAAGTAAAATAATAAAAAAAATGCTGTGGATACGATTCATATTTCTAGTTAATGTTCTTAAGGTGTGGCAAACATTTTTTGCGCCAGTAACTTACACTTTTAGGTAATAAAAAATCAACTATAATCTCACTTAATGACTTAAAATAAAGTTTTTTTTTTTAATTTAATCCTACCATGTACCCATAACTAAATTATTATCTAATGAAGACATTAATTAAAGCAAAAAATACAGATCAAAATCAGATACGTTTCATTAACTACTAAAACCAATATAAAATGCTAATAAAAATGTAAAGACGTTTTTTTTTGCTTTGTTTTAATTAACGTCATCCTTGTTAAAAATCCCCAAATACAACGGTAGACAAGATGATTATTCGGTAAAAAGCTTTTAGTTAAATTAGGTTTTAATCAAATTAATGTATATTTCCAAGAAATTATTATATTTAATAATAAACATAATTATAGAATATTGATTCACTATATAATTTCAAATCATTTTATAAAAAAAATGAAGGTCATGATTGTTAAAATGTATTTTGAATTAGATTATTAAAAGAGTACAATAAAAAATGAAAAAACGAATTACTGAAATTGGAATAATATCTTGGGAATTTAACAGTTAAAGATATTTCTGGGTGAATATAATAATAAAAATAATAATAACAAGACTTTATTCGTCTCTTAGAAAGGAAAATGTACAATAACAATAATTTATGCAAGGAAAAACTTATATAAAAATGATGACAAAGCGACTTTTATTTTTCACATTTTATTCAAAGTTTCATTTTACTATATTCAACTCTTACTTTATCTGCGTCCGTGGAAAAAGTGTAGTCTGTTAGTCTATTAAAATGAAAATCAAATACTCGTGGTTTCACTAGTATCGAATTTTCATTTCAACCTTGTTACAGAATATTAAAATAATACACTACTTTATTTTTTATTATTTTCTTTTTACTTGTACTCTTCTAGAAAAAAAGTTCAAGTTTGTTTGAAGTTATTAAAACTAAATGCAAATAAAACTATACCAATTTCCTATTTTTTTCAGGTTAACGCCCACAATGGCAAAGTACTTACCACCCAAAAACTCGTAGATGATTCCTGCCAACTGGCCCAAGCCCTTCGAGTACACGGATGTTCTCCACAAACTACCATCTGCATTGGAAGCGAGAACAACCTCGAGTTCTTCATCCCCATTTTCGCCTCAATTTTCTCCGGCACCATCATGGTTCCTTTAAACGTTAACTACACCGACCAAGAGCTCAAACACACCCTCAACATTACGAAACCAAAAATAGCATTTTGCTCAAAACGAGTAACGCAAAGATATTTAAAGCTAAAGAAAGAGATGTCGTTTTTAGAAACGATTATAGTTATAGATACCGATGATGTTATTGAAGGTACAATAAGTATGAACGAATTTGTAAGGAGTAAAATGAATGGAAGAACGGTTACACCTCATAATTTTTTGCCGTTTGATGGAGACTCGATGGATAGTGTGGCGTTTGTTTTGTGTTCAAGTGGTACTACGGGATTACCGAAGGGAGTTATGTTAACGCATCAGAATATTGTTACTAGATTATTGCAGTCAAGGTAAGTTTATTAATATTTTTTTAAATAATAAAACAATATATGGAATACTAATACACTGGGAATAAAAATATCTCTTGTGCTCCCCTTATGTCACTAATGCAGCAAGGGAATTGTATCGTCTATAACGACCCTTTCAATCCAATATTATCTAGAAAATATGCTGTGCTTGGCCTTGTTATAGAGTTTTTGCAATTCGGATCTTAAAATTGAGAGATAACTGATCCACCAAGGAAAATTCCTACTAGTTCTTCATAAGTCTTTAAGGTTACTTTCCAGAGCTAGTGGGTGACTAGATGCATTATCTTGTGGTTCGATAGAGATAGTTCTTATTAGAAATAATTCTAGAAGTTGCTCACCTCTCTGACTGGTGTCATTGCTTCTCCATATAGTGATGTTATGCACTGACATCCCATTCCAAGCAGTAATTGTAGATTTTTTTCGTGCAGTACTCAAATAAACTAGATATTTCCGGAAGTGGTACAGCCCTTGCTCTGCGAAGTGACTTTCTTACCAATTCATCCCAAATTCGAGATATGCTTAAATGATGATGAGAATAAAATCGTTTTTAATCATGTAAACCGTTTTTTAAAAGCTTTTCTTGAGCTACCCATTCAGTAGTTTTTAATTTTATAAATCACCTTAACTTTTTGTTTTGCTTTATTCTAGGTATCCAGCGTATCTGTCAAATCACGACGTAGTTCTAGGACTTATGCCATTCTTCCATTCGTACGGATTATTTTTCGCACTAACATCAATTTTCAACCGACACCTAACAGTAATGATGGATAGATTCGAGGAAGACTTCTTTTTAAAATCAATTCAAGATTACAAAGTGTCAGTCGTGAGGTTAGCTCCGCCCTTAGCCATATTTTTAGCGAAGAATCCTAAGGTGAACAAGTACGACTTGTCGTGTGTTGCAGAGGTGTTTTGTGCAGGAGCTCCGCTTAGTGGAAAAACGGAAGTTCAATTAAAGAAAAGGTAGGTTACTAGAATTTTATAATAAAAATTCGAAATAAAGTTAAAGAGATCTAATTGTGATTTATTGATTCCTCTATTTTTATTTGTTTATAATATGAATGACATGCGTTGTTCTAAAATTCAGCTTTACTTCTCTCTGTCTAAAGTCAAAACGTAATACTTATTTTTTATAGTTTTAAATTTTAAAATATAATTATCAAATTTAATTTAAATTGAAACAACCATTTATCTATGACACTAAGTTAAAAACTCTTTTGATAACCTTCCAAAGTCTGAATTCTTTTTAACCCGATTGCTTAATAAACAAAATTAAAAAATTAATTGCGTTATGTATTTCTAACTTTTTTTGTACATATAAATTTGTTGTTTACAAAACGTAAATCGCAGTCAATTAAATAATAATTATTTTAAGAGCATTGCAGATAAAATATTTGACCTTAACCAATGTCTGGGATATTTTAAGTTCAATTCTTAAAGAAGCAAATAATCATTAATTTCATTTTAGGTAGCGTACCTACCTGGAAAAGATAATAACTTAAGGTTTGTTCCAACACAATAGCAAATCGGATTACGTTCTGTTGAGATTCCGCGCAGTCTAGATTTGGTATTTCAACAAACTTCTGACATAAAACTGTACAAAAATCTAGAATTCTAACACACTTAAACCTAATCACAAACAGGTTTCTGTAGTGTCAAATCAGTGAGCTCGTAAATAAACCACGACCAACCCTGGAAATTTCGTGATTTGTATTGATAGCATCGATCATAGTCTAAATATAAGGATTATACAGTGAGCATCATAAGTCTTGCCCCCCCCTATCTAACTCGTTACTGCAGTCTTGTTAGGGAAAATTGCCGAGACACGTCGACTTTTGATTTCTACAATGTACATTTTTGTATGAATAGTTTACCCTTAATTTCATCCCTTACTGGAGGGGAGCAACCCTTTTAAAAAATTTAAATGGCATTGGGTGGTAAGTGATAGCTCATTTAAAAGGTGGTTTTATTTTCTATTCAACCGTGCAAAAAAATTTTAAATTTGCTTTATAACGTATTGATTTATTAATGTTTAAAAATAACAAAACATCACAGAAAGTTTATATTCACGCTTGCTTAAATAAAGGATAAATCATTTTGACTTCACAGAACATGTACTTTCTGACATGGAACGAACATCTCATTCACATCTCATTTTAAATCGATAGGTAAAAAATGTAATCTGAACGGGTACATCTGGGATAAACAAACGCAGATGTAGATGTAGTAAATGTGTCCGATGTGGATAGAAAAACGCTCGAGATGTAAAAAATGCATCGGATGTAGATTTTCAAACGCGGCACTTGTATATTTTTATTAGAGGCTCTTGCAATTGATGTGCCAACTTAATCTAGTTCAAGATATGACATTATGTGGAAAGTGATGCCCATCAGATGATTGGAGTGGTGGCTTACAAAAGGCAATCATACATATTAGTTGAAGAGGTCGAAACAAACGCAACTCTGGGACTACACAAACAAAGTTCACCTGTGCAAGTTCTTTCAATTCCAAATAGATTTTAACCCACGAATACACAAATTTTTCCGTTACAATATTTGTTATAGCTGGGTAACTACTGAAAAGAATAAGAAAAGTTGATGTGAAACTAGATTTCTTTTTATAGAAACAAATCCTTTGATTTTTGAGCAAAAAAATAAAAATAAATAAAATAAAAAGTTTAAGCGGTTATATCTCATTCCATTTTTATCCAAAAAACTTGTTTAACTCACCATTTTAAAGGAAATTTAGTCTAGTTTTTTATATAATGTAATATCTATATCTGCTCACAAGATGCAAAAAACTAAAAATAAAAAAAAAGTTGAGTTTTTTTGCATTTTTTTCCGTATTTTTCTTTTAATGTTTCCAATTTCCACACTTTATTTTATTAGCACTCTGTTGTTTTCTCATCATTAATGACCATTTAAATGATTCATACTTATATTGGTTATTATGTAGGAATAAAAATTAAGTCGAAGAACTTATTTTTCTTTTATATTTTCAATTTCTTATTGTTTGCATAAAAAAGTATTAAAAAAATAAAGCAATGTTGTTGAATTGAAATAGTTTCTTGGTCATAGCAAAAATAATGCACGCAACTCTTAAGTAATGGCTATTAATACATTCGCTTGAGATTTACAACACTCGTCTATGACTTGTATCGTAACTTACATTAAGCTCGTGTATTAATAGCTAGAATTACATAATCATTGCATAATATACTATAATAACAATTTCCTTATCATGAAAAATAAATGTACACTTTGTGTGGGCTAGACTAAATTATATTATAACATCAATAGTTCAATAAACTAAGGTCAAAATAATCTGCACATATTTTAGTTATCCTTCATTGCAACATTATATATTTTATTCCAGATTAAACCTCAAAGCGATATTTCAAGCTTATGGATGTACGGAAGGAACTTTGGCTCTAACAATTATGAACAAAGATGTTTACCGGCCAGGCTCATGCGGCAAAGTTATTACTTACATGCAGTGCAAGGTTCGAGATCCTGAAACAGGAAGATCCTTGGGTCCATACGAAATTGGAGAATTGTGTTTTAAAGGTCCTACTGTCATGAAAGGTAAAGAAAATATTTCTAGATATAACGATAGTTTTTGGAATTTTATATATTTTATCTACAACCACCACAGTAAATCGTCTAATATGTATCATTTTGTTTCATCATTATAGATACTGTTACGTATTGAATCCCAAAACTGTTGAACTATCAATAGTTTTGACATTTAGAGGGTCAAAACGCAGGACCTTGTAAGTAACAATTTGGAAATTTTTCAGGAGGGCAAAAAAACTATTTTATTTTTGTTCTAAAATATAAGTATAAGTAAATATATTTACTTAAACTTAAAACTCATTTCCTAACATTAAATACCTATTCTAATGACATCAGGTAACTCAAAAAATGCGTGATCGGGTAATTTCCTAAATTTAAGAACAACATCTACAAAAATATTTTTTAAAAAAGTGTTGCTTTGATGTGTTAAGAAATCCATCTAACTTAAACGCAAAAAAAGCGAAGTGGCTGATCTCGTTGGTTTACGTCACAGTTAGTTTTAACCAATCATCGGCGAGTCAGAACTCACGAAGAGATTAACTATTGGCGTTAGTAGACTAGATCTTTCGCAGGATGAGGTAATCACCTTCGGGTAAATCTAAAAATACCAGGGACGGAGTTAGGAGTAAAAAATGATAAATAACAGAAAATTGTAAAACAAATAGCTTGTGCAAATAAGTTGACGTATTTCAACAGAGAAATTATTAAAACCTGTCTTTCCGAATGCAAGATCTTCATCCCAACCCAACTAACAAAGTGGCTTTATAATTTTTAGTTTACAAGACTATTATATTTTATTGATATTATATTGCTGTTTCTGGAATGCTAATTTATTGTACTACAGTTGCAGGAATCACTATTTTGTTCTCTGAAACTAAATTGTTATATAAATTAGTTTTTACAATATTCTTACAGCAAAATTATAAAATAGTTTTCACGATAACTATGAAATTGTTACATAAACATTTATACAACTGTTCTATACAATATTTCAGCTTATAAAATAAAATTGCTTTATAGTTATTCTATATTATTGTTCTGGATTACCTTTAGAACTTTTTGGTTATACAAATATAACTGTTTCTTAACCTCATAATAACGCTTTAAAAAATAGTTATATAAATATTAGTGCGAGATAATTTCGCGTCAATAGCAATTTGCTTCTGATGAAAACTCTAAAATAACTGTAATATATTGTCGACATACACTATTACAAATCAGAAAACTGTATAGCAATTATTTTAGTTAAGAATAGTATTATCCCTTTAAAAATATTTATAAAAAAAAATAAAGCAACTACATTTGGTAGTACCAAGGCCATATTATTTTGTATTTTATGTTTGTTCAACTACTTCCCATACCAATTGTATGTGAGTGTATGGTCTGAAAATGTCAGATTTAAATAGTGAAGAAATATAAAAAATAAGTGGTACCTGCTTTTCAGAGAACATTAAAAAATATTAGTAAAACAGTTTGCTGGTTTGTCTAGACACTCAAAAAAAAACTATCATTCAGCCAGATAATAATTAGGTATGTTCCGAATAATCATGCCCCAATACTAAAATAAAGCCATATTTTTGGCGATGTCCATGTTAAACTTGCTTATTCTCGTAATATTAAAAATTATACTTGCTCTATAAAGCTGTAGAAACAATTCTTATCATTTCAATTCCCAAATACTTAAATCGGAAACGATTTAGTAAGGTTATGTTATATTTTGTCATATAGTGCAGAAATATGAAACAATTATACAACAAACCATGATGAACTTGTTTTGTAGAAATAAGTAATACAACTTAATTATTGTATTACAGCTATTTTTACTACAATAATATTTTATAATTATGATTCAGTCTTAAAATAACTTTCTAATACCTCTGAATAGCCGCCATATTTAACAAAAACCTAAGATAGTTTTAAAGCTAAATCTACTGTCGGTTTTACTAGTATTTAAGAGAAAACCAATGTTAATTAAAGATTTTAATTATTAGTAATATTAGCATAATCTTATTACTAAAAAAAAAATCAAATTGCATAAATTTAATTTTTGTTTCACACTGAAAAAGTATTAGAAATATGAATCAAACTCGAGGCGCTTAAAAATTTAGTATTGTATGTGCTATATAATTAACAGTAATTCTTGCTGCGCATCCAAAAACGACTTTATTGTAGGTCATACATTATGTCTAAACCGCGTTATAGATATCTCTTAAGTAGATACTGCCATTTTACTAATATCGCCTTGAATTTACTTTTATGACAAATATAGAATTAATTTGTTTTCACCAGATACATTTAAAAAACTAAAATGTTACTGATTTTGATATGGAACTTAATCTCAAAATTGAAAATTTATAAAACAGTTATAAAAGTTTAAAAAAACATTTGTTTAAAGTCTGTGTAAATGTGTAGTAACTGTTCGGTAACTGCATTCAACAAATCTTATAGAATTTACAAAAGAACCAAATAGTTCTGTAATACTGCGCCCATTTTGTGTTTATTACTGTTGAAAGAATGTTCCGGAAATGTTCTTAGCTAATATTCTATTTTATAAATTTTGTTCTGTAAACATTTTTTCAGCTTTTATAAAATATCAAATTGTTACTTGGGAAATGGAAGCTACAGAAATGAAAACGTTTATTTGCAAACTAAAATTCACAGGTATAGAAGAAATTAGACCCATAACAATAAAAATAATATCAGATTATATATCACTAGGAAGCATATAGATTATTTTAAAATTGCTCATACATAAAACTATCCCCTCTCATCTCACTTATCAATGACTTCCCAAATATCGTTGAAAAACTTTTCTATGTTTTCATTTACTTTGCATTTTTTTATTTACATCTCTTTTATTTTTTTGTTGATTAGATCAGGAGTTGGCCGTTATTTGTCCTTGTCCACCGCGACCTTTTCAGATCTATTGTGGGACTTCGTTTGTTTTAGAGTATGTCTGTCGTCTAGCTTTGTCTTTTTTATTAGACTTAGTAGCTTTGACAGTGGTTCCCGCATGCATTTGGCTTTTTCTGCCCAATGTTAGAAACCTTATTCCAGCCAGGCCTTCACATTGGCACAGGACGTGGAATAATGTTTCCTCTTATTCTTCTCAAAACTTCACAAAGTTGCTTCTTCTGCTGGATTGAACACACTCATGTGCCTTTTAAGGCGACAGTGTCCGGTAAAAAGACCTACTGTTATCTTAACGATTTGACGCTTTTGTTCCAGTAGGTCTTTCGTGAACTTGGCTAATGGTTCCTTGATAAACTGTTTGGCCTGTTTTAGTCTTAGATAGTTGTTCCACCATTTCTAAGACTCTTTTTGCATCCATTGTTTAATGGATGCCTTGCACAATGCCTTAGCAACTTCACAGAAGGGTTCGGGGCCTGTCAAGGCCTTATCTGACCCTTCTCGGGCTAGTTCATCGGCCTTTTCGTTGCCCTGATATCCCTCATGGCCTGGCACCCAGGCTTGGGTCACCTTGTTTTGACCACTTAGCTCTGCCAGGTCTTCTAGACAGTCTTTCACCAGTCGTGATTTGATTTCAGGTGATAGAGTTGCTTTTAGAGCTGCTTGGCTATCAAAGTATATGGCAATAGTTTTGCCTGATACTTGCTGATTTAGTATTTCTCTTGCACAATGTTGTATAGCTATTAGTTCAGCCTGGAACACTGTTGCATATTTTCCTAAACTCTGCGAAATCGTTGTTTCCGATTTGGGTCCATAGATACCAACACGGGCTCCATCCTTGATTTTTTAAACGTCTATGTACCAGCCAAGTTCAGATTGTACGGGAAGTCCCTGTTTTCAGGATTCTCGGGCTGGTTATGGCTCTATCAGTAGGCATAGCTGGAATATTATAATTTTTTACTTGCAGATATAGCCTTTTATAGTCAGCGCTATGTAGCTGACCTGGTTTCTCCTTGTATGAAGATCTGCAGTAGCGTGAGATTTAATAATATCTCCATTGCTGCAGTTGGCGTAATTGCGCATGGCCCCAGTAGCACTTAGACAGACGAGCCGCTAAATGCCAATGAGTTGGCCTATTGCACTTACCTGCGCAGTGTTGGTTACCCACGCTACTGCGCTATAGGTTATCATGGGTCTTATCATCCGCGTGTATAACCATATGGTCAGTTTGGGGTTTAGACCCCGGTTTTTCCCACATATTCTTCTACAGCTCTTGTAGCTTTGTGAGTGAGTTTTTTGATACGTTGGCTTACAGGTCAGCCTTTGGCCAAATATGACTATTATCCTAATTATTTCTACTTTACTTTGTTCTCTATTTTTTTATTACTCTATTAAATCTAATTTTTAATTTTATTAATAATTTTTTTATCATCATATCTGTTTTTCTCTAATATATCCATTTTCTTACTAGTTTCTTTCATTTTCTTTATCAATTTTTTCTAATTTTCCATTCTATTTTCATCGATCATCTTGTCCTAGTTCAGCATCATCATCATCATCTTCATGATTGTTTAATCCTGTCTCTCTTTCTTTCTCTCACATAAGTGGTTCAGTGTTGCCTAAATAAAAATATATTAAAAGTGAGAAAATTTAAACCAAAGCACTTCACCTGTGACTACTAGACGTAACTATCTAATTCTTATGTATAGAAGGTGGCACCAATAATGAATAATTTTAAGAAACAGGCAACTACGAAGACCAGTTGTTTTGAAATTTTGTTGATTGGGCAATTCTGGTACTGAACCAGTCTTTATATTTTGCTATCATCTCCTTCTCTTGTTGTATCTTCTTAGTGTTTCTGTTTCGTATTCACTTATACTACTTATTTTATGCTCTCCTTATTATCTCTCTTCTATTCTTTCATTAAACCCAGCTTCTCTTCTCCTCGCAGGTCTATATTATCTATTACTTTTAACCTGTTACAATATTTTTTACTGAACACTTTCCTAACAAAAAAATCTTCAACTCAGATAAGTTTAAGATCTACAAACTCAATTCAAAACTTACGAAAATTTGGACTATGAAAAACGAAATAACAAAATTATAGTCTCTTCTTCTATAGTGTTCCAGCTGCTCTGGCTGTTTGTGCTTTCTCAGTCTGAATATCTGTACTGCTTTTTATTTACTGCTTTTCCATTTTGCTTCCTCACTCCGCTCAGCACATTTTGTAGCTATTTTATTGTTCCCTCCGCTTTTTTCAATTTTAAAATAACATTTATTGATCTTTTTATTTAACAATTGTTCTTAATTTTTTAATTTTACTATTTTAAACCCTTCTTTTAGAATCACTATGTCTTTACAATGATTCTCTACTCCGCACTAAAACTCATCTAACTTTTTTAACTAAAAATAAATCGCCCACCTTTACTCATTAAAGTTAAAAATTTTGACAGTGACATCTAAACTTTACTGTAGAATTTTATTAGGTATCTGGTAATATTTCCATTTCAAAAATCTTGGTGAGATCAAAAGCTATGCCGATAATACTGCGATATTTTTGGAAGCAGCTGGTTCAACCATAGATTGTTAACTATTAATTTTTTTTTATTTCGTGATATCATTTTATTACTCTTATGTAAAATTATTGTTTTCTGTAAACAAAATACTAATTTTCTTCTTGATATATTATTTAACTACACTGTATTAAATTTATTTTCAGGTTATTACATGAACCCGCAAGCCACCAAAGAATCATTTACTTCCGACGGATGGTTAAGAACAGGAGATTTAGGTTATTATGACGACGAACAATTTTTCTATATTGTCGATAGGCTAAAAGAGCTTATTAAATACAATGGTTACCAAGTGGCGCCAGCGGAATTGGAAGCTATCTTAGTTCATCACCCAAAAGTTTTTGAAGCAGGAGTCATTGGGTTACCTGATGAAGTTGCAGGAGAGTTACCTATTGCATTCGTCGTTTTGAAGGAAGGGCAGAAAATTAGTGAGAAAGAGTTGCAGGCATATGTTGCAAGTACGTATAATGTAGTAATTATTAAAGTAATACAAAAAGTGGGTTATGTATTGCAAATTGGAGTAATTCTTAGATTAGTTGGTACTTTTCAAGAGCAACTATAGTATATTGTGTCACAAGGGCAGAAAATGAGCTTTAGCAGCCCACAGATATTAGCTACATGAGCGAGCGTCAAAGGTATCTAAATATTTAGTTAAAAACTACAAAATCGGGATGATATAAGTTTAGCAGCCCATGGGACGATATACGAGTATGTTACTTTCAGTCATATTTTTAGGGTTTATATGATTAATTTTCACATATGGTAGGCGAAAAAAAAGACTATCATACTATTAGGAAGATGTTTTATAGTAAAAAGATAACAATCACAGATGTTTGTAGATCCGGCAAGTCATTTATATTGCATCAATGTAACTAGAAAATTATATATGTATTTACTTATCTCTTAAATTGTTTGAAATTGAGCTTGGTAATATTTTTCTAAATTGATGGCACTGGATATAAACCAACAGGCCAGTTAATTTTTTAAACCACGTTAAAGTTGTTTTGACTTACAAACTAAAATTACCCGAACTTAATATGGTTTAAACATTTTGTTTATTTTTTATTTTTTTTTTGTTTTGTTTTTATGTTTTCTCCTTGTTTTTTATTGTTTTTGTTTTTTTGTTGTTTATGTTGTTTTTGTTGTTTTTATAGTGTGTCATCGGCTTCAACTACTAAGGTTATTTCGCCTTGTTTTTTGTGTCGGCTTTGTTAGTGTTTCCCAGCGCTACTTTAGGAACAGCACTGTTAATTAGAACCCAACAGTGAATAATCGAGTGGGGAATCCTACCAAGGCATCAGAATTAATTTTAAATAAATAAATAAAATAAAAAAAATCCTGGCCAACGGTGGGATTCGAACCTGAGACCCTTGGATCTGCGGGCAGAGACTTTACCACTGAGCCACCCGCCCCTCGTGTTTGGTATTTCTGATGTTTTTGTTAGTTTTTGTTAGTTTTTGTTGTTGTTTTTGTTGTTTTTGTTGTTTTTGTTGTTTTTGTTGTTTTTGTTGTTTTTGTTGTTTTTGTTGTTTTTGTTGTTTTTGTTGTTTTTGTTGTTTTTGTTGTTTTTGTTGTTTTTGTTGTTTTTGTTGTTTTTGTTGTTTTTGTTGTTTTTGTTATTTTTGTTGTTTTTGTTGTTTTTGTTGTTTTTGTTGTTTTTGTTGTTTTTGTTGTTTTTGTTGTTTTTGTTGTTTTTGTTGTTTTTGTTGTTTTTGTTGTTTTTGTTGTTTTTGTTGTTTTTGTTGTTTTTGTTGTTTTTGTTGTTTTTGTTGTTTTTGTTGTTTTTGTTGTTTTTGTTGTTTTTGTTGTTTTTGTTGTTTTTGTTGTTTTTGTTGTTTTTGTTGTTTTTGTTGTTTTTGTTGTTTTTGTTGTTTTTGTTGTTTTTGTTGTTTTTGTTGTTTTTGTTGTTTTTGTTGTTTTTGTTGTTTTTGTTGTTTTTGTTGTTTTTGTTGTTTTTGTTGTTTTTGTTGTTTTTGTTGTTTTTGTTGTTTTTGTTGTTTTTGTTGTTTTTGTTGTTTTTGTTGTTTTTGTTGTTTTTGTTGTTTTTGTTGTTTTTGTTGTTTTTGTTGTTTTTGTTGTTTTTGTTGTTTTTGTTGTTTTTGTTGTTTTTGTTGTTTTTGTTGTTTTTGTTGTTTTTGTTGTTTTTGTTGTTTTTGTTGTTTTTGTTGTTTTTGTTGTTTTTGTTGTTTTTGTTGTTTTTGTTGTTTTTGTTGTTTTTGTTGTTTTTGTTGTTTTTGTTGTTTTTGTTGTTTTTGTTGTTTTTGTTGTTTTTGTTGTTTTTGTTGTTTTGTTGTTTTTGTTGTTTTTGTTGTTTTTGTTGTTTTTGTTGTTTTTGTTGTTTTTGTTGTTTTTGTTGTTTTTGTTGTTTTTGTTGTTTTTGTTGTTTTTGTTGTTTTTGTTGTTTTTGTTGTTTTTGTTGTTTTTGTTGTTTTTGTTGTTTTTGTTGTTTTTGTTGTTTTTGTTGTTTTTGTTGTTTTTGTTGTTTTTGTTGTTTTTGTTGTTTTTGTTGTTTTTGTTGTTTTTGTTGTTTTTGTTGTTTTTGTTGTTTTTGTTGTTTTTGTTGTTTTTGTTGTTTTTGTTGTTTTTGTTGTTTTTGTTGTTTTTGTTGTTTTTGTTGTTTTTGTTGTTTTTGTTGTTTTTGTTGTTTTTGTTGTTTTTGTTGTTTTTGTTGTTTTTGTTGTTTTTGTTGTTTTTGTTGTTTTTGTTGTTTTTGTTGTTTTTGTTGTTTTTGTTGTTTTTGTTGTTTTTGTTGTTTTTGTTGTTTTTGTTGTTTTTGTTGTTTTTGTTGTTTTTGTTGTTTTTGTTGTTTTTGTTGTTTTTGTTGTTTTTGTTGTTTTTGTTGTTTTTGTTGTTTCTGTTGTTTCTGTTGTTTTTGTTGTTTTTGTTGTTTTTGTTGTTTTTGTTGTTTTTGTTGTTTTTGTTGTTTTTGTTGTTTTTGTTGTTTTTGTTGTTTTTGTTGTTTTTGTTGTTTTTGTTGTTTTTGTTGTTTTTGTTGTTTTTGTTGTTTTTGTTGTTTTTGTTGTTTTTGTTGTTTTTGTTTTTGTATACATTATGAAGCCCATTTAACAATCAAACCTAACCTATAGATCTTTTATTATTACTAAATAAGAGCATCATTTTTACTTTTTCTTTAGTTGTAAGAATTAGTCTTCGGTTTTGTACCATCTTTTTAACAGTTTAGTTTTTGATTAATTTGCTCAAAAACAAAACCTAAATTGTAGTATAAGGGCAGTTTCGAGGAAATTAAATTTAACTAAATTAAAAGTAAGTTATAAATAAACAACCTGATAGAAAAAGTGACTTAAAATAAATGTATTTCTTTTTCTGCTAAAATCAACTCTTGAGTTTTTAAAAATATGAATTAAGTAGTTTTTAGGGATGCTGATTCTAAATCTGATAGAAAAAGTTTACTAAAATAAGCCTTAACATCATTTTTCCAAAAAAATCTACACTACACCCCAATGGTAAATAAAAATATTTACTATGCCAAGTACTATATTTTTCTAACATACAATTACCACCAAAATTTTAAGAATATCGCATTACTGAGGACTGAAATATTAGGGTGTATTCATGAAAAGACAGACGCACTGTATATGATCAAAGCTATAAATACGTTTTTTTAAATAAATATAATAAAAACCTATATAATTCCAAATAATTTATGTTTAAAAATTTTGTAATCCTAATGAAAATTTTAATAAGTACGGTTGATATAATTTAATATGTAATTTTTAAAATATTGTGGTAAATATTTTAAATGAACTTATTATTACCGCTAGACCAAACAATTATACCCATCTTATGTTAATAGATTATACTCGTAGTTTCAAAATGACACAATATTGGTGATAAGAATTTTTAAGAAAATTTAATTAATTTATCGCTTGTCCTGGACAATTTAAAATTATTATTGTAACATTGACAGTGACATTACTAAAATAATTAACTTTGATAAAATTATTATTAAACAAAATTAATTAAATTAACATCTGTTACATAAGCCTAAAAGATAAAGTTCAGATTTTGGTAAACATAATGAACAAAATATTAATTTGGATCTTACATTTAGAAATTTAGAAATCTTTTTTGGTAAAGAAAGTGTCAATATAATTTCAAACATGTTTTACAAAAAGTTAATTTTACATTTTATTCGACGGCAGATCTATGTTAGAACTGTTAATAGAAGTTAACAATAATAAAATAAAAAAATACTGTAATTCTTTCCAACAATATTGGAATTGTTGACAATGAAAGATATTAAAGACAATAAGTACTGGTTGACCAGGAATAGAATTAATATTTTAAAAAATCATAGCAAATTAGTTTAAAATTGATTTATTGGTAAAATAGTAAAGTAATAAAACACCAAAAATTACAAACAAATATTTTGTACTTCTTCCTTACAAAGTGAAAGTCCTAAAAAAATTATAAAATGCTTAGATAATACTGGCAAAATCTTATACAGGAAATACAACTTCAACATAGATATCCAAACAACAGAACTGACAAGAAATCAACCGAGAAAAGGAAAGAAACATAAATAAATAAACTGTCAAAATATAAAATAAGAAATAAAATACCAAATATCACACACAATGGTTTAGTCTATGTTGCAGATAAACAAAAAGCCGATGCTTTTAGTGATAACATCAGTAAAACACGTAATGTAACAGAATATCAATGTTTTGAACGAGGCAACTGGAACGATGTAAACACATGGTGCAAAAACTTTTTTCGAAACAATTCTATCAACGAAAAAGAAAAAAAGAAAAAAAGAAAAAAGGAACAACAAATACTCTCCATTATTCAAAACTCTGTGTCCGATTTCGACATGGCAGATTGTAAATAAAAAAACTATAATACAATTTACACATCTACATTATATTTGTATTGTGTTACAGAAAACGAACTACAAAAACAAACAAAAATAAACAACAACAAAAAAAAAACAAAAAAGTATTCCCCACTCGACCATTCACTGTTGGGTTCTTAGTAACAGTAATGTTTCTAAAGTGGCGCTGGGAAATAGAAACACAATGTACTCAGAACACGAGGCTAATGGCCTAGTCGATTCCGATGACACGAAATTAAAAAAATAAAAAATCCAAAAAACCAAAAACAAAAAACACTCTTTTAGCTTAAATCAAATTCTAGACCAGTAACATACTCTCGGATACCTATCACCATTTCTTTAACCCATCCCTCAGTTCCGATCACTGATCCCTCCCGTGAGGCTAAAGAGGCTATGAATGTCTATAGAGACATGCTTTTAACTGGGAGAATGAAACACACATCCTTTACCTCCGTTACAAAAACTCATACTTTTCAGATCAACGAAAAAAGGCACTATAATAGTTACCCCATTATCGTACTACCTACACTGCTAATTTCTAATATGTAAGCAACAAAATTAAACAATACAAAATCCACTATTCTCCTGTTGAACATTAAAACAGCCTTTGAGAGTGTCTGGATCATCGGTCTCCTATTAAAATTAAACCTTTTAAATGTACCTCCATTTTTTATTAAAAACTTTAAAAAAATCTCAAAATAAATCACCACACATGTATCATTGCAAATCGAGATGTACCGCTCCTATACAACTATATTATTCTGATTTTCCCTCAGATCTGTTTTTTCCTGTACTTGTCTAAAACCATTAAAGCATAATGGCTTATTATATTTGCCCCGGATTAGTTCATAGTATATACACTGCTCCATGGGATCTTGGATTAACTGTGGTTGTCCAAAAAGTTTCATTGATTTGATTAACCCCTAATATCTCAACCATTGCATCACTATAAAATCAATATAAGTTGTTTAATAAATGAAGATTAAACTTCACTTATCACCTTTAAAACCAAACCAATTCATCATCTTTAAAACAAAACCAATTTAGTTTATAGTCTCACTAAAATACCTAGGTCTCACTTTGGACTGCAAATTAACATGAAACTCGCATTTAGACAACAGAGTTAAAAGAGCATACATTGCTTATGAACAATGCTGCCGAACCGTGGGGCGCACCTCTGGTTTCTCCCCCAGAGTCGTCGCATGGACTTACATGGATACCGAAAACCCAAAAATTAATAGCTATGCGTAACTAGAACAAATTCAAAGAACAGCATGTCTGAACATAACAGGAGCTATACAAACAACACCGACCAGAGTCATGGAAGTCATTCTTAGTCTCACTCTCCTTGATATTTACATCAAGGAGGTTGCTTTGACGACAATGACATGCCTCCGCACGGTTGGAATAGAACCTGATGTAGGATCTGGTGAGGCGAGACGTCGCTTTTGGCACGAGGCGCTCGATACGCTTCCACTGCTTTAAGTGAACATGGAATCCATCTCACCGAGATATATCTTCCATAAGCCGTATAAAGTTATAATAGAACAAATAGAAGAGCGGAAAGTGGCAGGTACGATTTATATCTACACCGACGGTTCTAAAACAAAACAAGGCTCAGTATGTGGAATATACTCCAGATTCTTAAACCTAAACATAAAATGGGCTGCGAGCAATAGTGCGAGTGTAATTCAAACTAAGCTAATGGAGATTCTCATAGCAGCAAAAGAAATAACCAGAAACAATATCACTGGAAGGAACATCCTCATCTATACAGATAGTAGATAAGCACTACTCCCCCTAAATAGATCACGAATTTACTCAGGGTGAGTACTAGAATGTCACGAAACTTTGGCCGAAGTATCCAACAACAATGTGGTCACCTTAAGATGGATTAAAGGTCACGCCACATCTGATTCACTAGCCAACCAAATACTTTTTGGACCTGGCCATTCTATTTGCCTGACAAAATTGATAGTGATAGACCTAATTAAAAAACATTCTCTTGTATAATTTAAGAAAAGATGGAATAAAACAAGAAACTGCAGAGTTGCTAGAAAGCTATCCTGACAACACTGCAGCAAACAAATACTTTACTATGACCAGACTCTGCGCCTAGTCACAGGCATTCTGACTGGTCATTACCAAGTACGAAAGCATCCCCATATCATGGGTCTGTCAGAATCCGCACTCATCAGAGGATGCAAACAAGAAGATGATGCCATCGAGCATATCCTTTACGATTGCTCGATGCTTTATTAGAAGATTTGTGTTCGTCGAGTATCGTATAACACCGCCCGATATAAGGAAAGTACCTTTTGGCGACGTTGTCAACTACATTAAATCTGTAGGCTGGCTCACGAGCTAGGAGGTGCCTATCATCTCAGGAGAATGCACAATGGGCCTAAGAAGACCTAAGTGCCGTAGGGGTAACCCACCTTCCACACGTTACAGATACAGACAGATACCTGCATTAAATAATTTTCAAGTGGCGGAAACATCAACCTAGCCTCGAAAAAACAGAAAACTATCAAAAACAATGTCAAAGAAACAAAACCACCAAATGCTAATAAACATTTTTTTGATTTAACGTCCAATTAGACAAAAAAGGCTTAAATACCCAGTGAGAACAATAACATTACTCTTGAATATTAAAAAAAAATTATATAAAAAACTTACGTCTTCATTCCTAACACGGGTAATTATTGATCGACCCTCGTAATATTCAAACAGTTATCCCTTAACGATCCCTGGTGGAGTTTTTAAAACTATCCCCATATTAGGGACATATTTATATTGCTTGTGTATGGGATTTGATAGAATAACTATCATGATTTGTGCTATAGTTAATTGTTTAGTAAATAGAATTTTCTTTGCAGATAAGGTGTCTTCCCAAAAGAAGTTACGTGGTGGAATCATATTTGTTCCATCGATACCAAAAAATCCTAGTGGAAAAATCCTGAGGAAGGAATTAAAGAAGAAACTCCATGAATACAAAAAAGTATTGCAATCAAAACTCTAATACTCAAAAATACATTTAAATAGGAAAATTTAAGAGAATTAGAAAAAAAATTAATATTTATTGTTTGCAAGATAAGAACGTATGTTTTAGATGTTATGTTGTTTCATACTTAAGTATATTTTATTATCCATGTTTTAGTATATAATATTTTTACTAAATAGTATTGTTATTATTTGTTGGTTTTATATAGTTATTTCCATTTTTTTTTTGAAAATAAATGCATCTATTGATGACAAAAAAGTATTTTTTTTTTACATTTTATAGCAATATTCTATAAAAAGTAATCTAATTTTTCTATATTATAATGTCCGCCAACACGGGAGTGTTGACCTCATCATCGTTGCTGTGGCTTAGACCGCCCAGTTTAGTATTGAGGCTGTAAAAAACAGCGGTAAGTTATTAAATGTCATTAAAAAAAATCTCAGTAGAAATTATATTTCTACTTATTGTTACTGTTATATTTATTTATTTTGAAAATCAATTTAAATTATTAAATATGCTTTAGTTTTTCATTTTATAAGCTAGATTTACTCATTGCTTATATTAATTAGTTTTTTGTTATCTTGATTTAATTTTAAAAAAGTAATTGTTTAAAAGTTACTTCATATATATCATACAAGAGCCTCGTGAAAAACAGAATTTATTTTTTGTTTAGGAAGTGCGAATGTAAGCAGTCTTTTAGTTTCTCCTTCCTATCTAGCTGATGTGTCGATCTAATAAATAGTGAGGTTGTATAACGTCTATTTTATTTTTATTGTATTGAATCATATACGTCAACTGGTAAAAATATCCATTATAATAGTCAAATTTTCTGGATAAAATCTGTTAGACAATCTTAGTGTTTGCGATTTTTTCTAAATTCTCTAGTACTTTGAATTGGATTTCTGTTATTACTTGTATATATTATTTGGTAATTGTACAAGTCGACGAACATTTACACTGTTAAATAATAAATAAAATTTCTCTTTTTCCTAAAATTATATATAACTCTGAGTTAGGGGTCTATTCTGTAACAATTCCTTTATATTTAAAGGCCTTTAAAAATATTTTCTTCTTTACTTCTGTCATTATTTAAACGGATCTTTAAAATACATTAGAGGACTATCTTAAAGAAATCTGTTTAAATAATGACAGAAGTAAATTAACGAATACAAACATATTTTTAAAGGTCGCCAATATTTTTAAAGGCCGTTAAATATAAAGGAATTATTACAGAATAGACCCCTTAATCAGTTAATTTTGTCCTTTTGGTATAATTATCAACTATCTTTTTAAAAATAAAAAAGAAAGTTATTGGCGCCCATATATCTTTAAAAATATTTTCCAAAAGTATCTATTAAAAAAAACCTGAATTCTCGACAGAAAACTACAGTCTCATATCTATGCTTATTTGATTTTTTGATTTGGTATAAACATATCTAAGCGCTAGTCAAAATAAATATAATTAAGTAACAAAGCTAATTAAACATTAATTATTACTAACTAACACCAGTACTATTACAAATTGTTTGCTCAAACTTCAACTGTCAACAGTTGTGCGCACAATTTTAAATAATTTAAGCTCTTTTACTCAGTTTTTATCTTAAACATCTCGAAATTCAGTAATCTCAATAATAATTACGTTCAAATTTTTTTTTTTTTGTTAATGTAATAAAATTTTTGATCTTCTGGCTTATAACCAAGCCAAACGAATTACGGCCAGTTCCTAGATTAGACTCGTTTTCCCCAATTAATGCTAATTTTAGATAAAGGGAATTTATAGCATTTGGAACTCTCCCACTTATATTAGCATTACTGGCATGTTAGCGTTGCGCAAACAGACGAATAAATCTTTTCGCAAATTTGTCTAACATATTTTTCAGATCTAATGTGGAACCCGAATTCTCTATAGAGTTACACTGTTAAAAAATGCGAATAGAAAAAAAAATAAATAGCGTAAATATATATAGAAAGTAAAACTTCATTTAAAAACTTAATAACCAATTACTTATTTAAGAAGAATGGAAATTATATTTACAAGCCGATGTATATACCACATTTTTCATAATAATACTTACGAAGTATACAACATTTATACGAGTTAAAATAAAAAATAAAATGTTAATTACCTATTCCTCCACTTATCACAAAATAGAGTGATTCAAAATTATAAGAAACATAAAAATAAAACCGCTAGTGCTAGTGCTAGTCGAACTCGCGCGAGAAGGGGTCCGCACCATCGTACAAGATTTAATACTGTGTAGGTACTTTTTAAATACTTTATTAAGATCGAGCAAAAAACATGTTTCTAGTAGAGAATCCCCTTTAATGTTTGATGTTTTTTTATTTTTAATATTTGTTATAGCGGCACATTCTGTAAAAATTTAAACTGTCTATGGATCACGAGAAACAGCTTGCTGACAAACAGACGGTCAGCGGAGGCTTAGTAATAGGGTCCCGTTGATTACCCTTCGGGTACTAAACCCAAAAAACGAAGATAACATTTTTCCCTTTCCTTTTGTTTTGACCTTAAGTATTATTACTGTATATACATGTAAAGGAAGAAACATACTTTAATATTTTTTGAAAAAGAAAAAAATAAATAAAATCTTTATTATCTTTATTCTATTTTCTATGCCAAACATATGCGTTACCCCTTTATACTTAGTACAAAGATCTAATTCTATAGCCTAATTCAATGATTTATGTATATGTCGAACTCTGGTTTCTCTTTATGGAAATTAGGTTTAAATAATGCAAGTAATGTCAGATTAGCCCAATTAGATTCAAAAATTGTTTGGATCGTATGTATGAGCTTCTTTCATTTGTATATTATTTCTTTCTTCTTCGTAGGAATGGCAATTCAATAGACAGTGGGTTGGCGTGTTTTACGACTTCACATCTTGGAAATTTTGGTTTTAAAGCTTTACCAATTCGGTGCAAGTATACCGTGTTATTTTCGTAACTTGATAGTATGTGTATCACCTTTCTTGGCAGTAGTGTTTTGATTTCTGCTTCTAACCATGGTTGGATTTCTGGTAAAACTGTATTTGTCTATGATGTATTATTACCAGGTTATAATGATAAAATGTTGCGTCCATCTTTCTACTCCAGTTCAATTCTTATATTCTGCAGCTAATATATTATTGCCCAGGAGGTATATTTGACCCGATTTCCTAAATGTTGTTTATGTTTTTTTTTTAGATGTGAGTGGTACCCTTGCCAGAATACATAGCCTCTCAAACAGAGTAGATTTGTATGCTACCAACATTATCCTTAGACATATGACTTGAGTTATTGGCAGCTGTTGCTTTGTTACGGGTCAGAAATTATTCTTACAGATAATTAACTGAAATAATTATAGGGGTTTACTGAATATTAAATAAATAAAAACTCACCTAAATTTGTAAATAATAATCAACAAGATTTATAGTTCTTTTTCCATTTATTAAAATTAACCTATACATATGTATATTGTTTATTTACATGCTAATGTCAAATCTTGACCATGACCTTGTAATAGTTCTTCTCTTCTTTATTAAGGTGTAACTTAATTAATTAGGTCAATAATTAACCTATTTATTGGCAGTTTAGTCATCTTAATCAGATACATCTATTTTATTGGTATCTGAGGTTTTATCTCTCTCTGGGTTCTCTGTCTTTTTCTTTTGGAGGTTGGTTTCTGGGCCATGTGGTCTAATTTAATTTAAAGCGAATATTTCGGATTTTCTACCACCCCTGAAAAAGAATTACATCAAAATCATTTAAATAAGTATTGCTTTTAAAAATCAGGACGATTTTTTATTACACACAAAGTGGATTGGCGATACTTAATAAAAAAAAGGCCCTACCTTATTCGGTAAGTCACCCAGACACAATTAAAATTTGTATGCATCTCTATATCTTGCTTATTTCTGCTTTTAGGCCTAATACGTATAATACGTGTAATACATATAATTCTTATAGTAATTACAGTACTTCCAGTAATTATAGTACTTATATAAGCATATTATTATTGCTATCCCTTCCATTGATATCACCCGCATGGCAAGGTTCTTCTAGGCTTAATACAACTGCTTAGTAGCTGCTTTCTGGCATTTATTTGGAATATCACAGTGCTGCCTGTGGCCCATCGATAGATCCAGGAGGCTTCGAGAAAGCAAGTAAGATCTTTCCATTTCACTATCTAACTGCTTTAATAAAAACCCGCTGCTTTTCACAAGACCACACACACCTTAAAAGGAAAACAAATATTGAGTTATTATATATCATAAATATTTATTCTAGTGACTATCTAACAATTTACATAAAGATTACAATAAAAGGATATTTGTACTCACCTTCTCCCTGTAAACAAGTAGTACTACTTGGGCTTGAGGGGTATCATTCTGGCTAAGACCCATGTAGTAAATATATACTTTTCACCAAATATTAATTGATATTCTTAGTGATACACCAGATTGTATAAAAGACACGTTGTATATAATATTTCCTGTAAAGTAAGACATAACAGTCATTTGGGTAAGAACGTTAGTAAAAACTTTTGTAAATAGAGTTACCTGATTTAATTTTCCACGTCCCAACTCTCCGGATGAAATATATAACCTGAGCTAGCTTATATAAAATTTCACCCCCTATCAGACGAGGGAGTAACATAATAGCTTGATTACAACCTTGCTTATAGAGGCCCTACACGCTCCGACATAGCCTGTGGACTAAAAAGCTTAGTTCTACTTTAAAGCCACGATTTAATCAGTTTATTTCACCCTCAGTCTTCACATTAGACAAACGAAGAGAGGCCAGATGTGAGTCAGATCGAGCAATTCACGTTGAATTATGGACTGAATCGAAGGGACTGCACAGTTCAAATCTCACAAAAATCGTAGCGTGTGGGGACTCCTTTAGTCTGACACGCCAAAGTTCCACTACATATGAGAATATAATCACTCTTATGGTAAATTTTACTGTCTCCTCGTAAGAAAATCGTCAAAAGTTAAATTTTGAATCTAAATATTCTAAATAAAGAATTCAGACTGGTACGCGATCGATTTGACCGAACGAGTGGGGGAAACTTAAATGCTCTACCAAAATTGGTTCGAGATGTCTAGCTTTTCTGGTTTGAGTGCCATCGAATTCACAGGGCCTAATAACAACAAGGCCC